GCTCCATGGTATGTATCAAACGATACCATCCATAGAGATCTTGACATCCCCTACCTTAGGGATTACATCATAGGTATGGCACAACGGCGCTACCAGCAAGCGAAATCGCACAGCAACCCTTTGTTGCGTGAAGCAGTGGAGTACACAGTAGAGGAGATACGTAAACATTCCAGGCCGCGACTTGCACTGTGAACAAAATTAAATTCATGTTTCGACCTTTTAAAATTATAGTTTTTAAAAACCAAAGACCCAAAAATCAGTTCAGGACAAGCCAAAAACGCATACAGTTCAATGTAACGGTTCTTAGATCTATCACACCTCAAATATTTACATAAAACAATTCCTTTTGTTTCTCTTCTCGCTCCTACTTCCTTCCTTTCTTTCTCCCTATCCCCTTTTCCGTACAACTTGTCTGGTTTCTGGGCCACCAGACTCGACAGACTGACGACAGGCACTGACGTTACAGTGACTATGACCTGAAAGCTAAGGTCCTCCGGACCGCCTTGAGAAGCAACGACGAGTAGTCAAAGAAATGTATTAATCTTACGTCAATAGATCCGTAATTATTGTTTCATACTGAGCATCAACATACGTTGTTATAGATTTATAATAAAATTGTATACCCGCACGTAGTAACCAATAACTCAATTCGCCTGTCGTTAGGCAAAGTAAAGAAGGATAACAAGTTAAAATATATTTCATTCTTGCTTGCCAGATGGAATTTCATTAATATTTATCCGAGAGCCATGTCCAATTATTACAACTGGGTACTTTTTAATAGCAGCAGATTTCAGTTTGTTTCGTTTTTCTATTCTTCATATCTGGTGACCCAAAGACAAACTGCGATTACGAAAGGCACTCAAACCTGTATCCGCTAAGCCGCCGTGAATAACTGTGCTATCCAAAAGGAAATAAGTACCCACGGAAGTACTAACAGCCTATTAGAAACTGGTATATCTACCAAAGCATAGCAGGTACGAGATGCCTACCTCACAGATGGTTTACTTAAGGATCAATAGTAATAAACAGTGGCTGATCGGAGATCTGTGGGGATCGGAGCAAAATGTTTGTACATGCCATCCTAAGAGACAAGAATACGACTGAAGATGCTCAAAACAATGTTTTTTCTATTTTGGGTCCTGGAACCGTGTCCCTCCCGGGGCCCTACACAATGTGATGTATGCCTCATCCATACCAAAGTAATCTCCTTGTTTCAATCGTTTCCAAGATGTTGTGGTCCACTTCCATCTTAGATATGCTTCTGATAATATATTTCGTAATTTGTTAATAAAAACTTTTTTTTCAGGAAGTCATCTGATAGTAATTAAGTCGCATTGTCGTCAATCATAATCATTTTCTGTATCCATGGATAATCAAGAAGAGCTGAATGTGCCGAGGTTTACTTTTCATTTCGATCATGCCATACCCCGCCATGCCGATTATTTCGGCTTTAGGGCCTTTATACTCAACACACAGAAAGTCGAACGATATATTTCCTCTTCCAAATATTTGGAGCAAATATCACTTTTCTCATAAGGCAGAAACTTCTGTTTAACCTGAAGTGGTTTGTTATACTCTTAACCAGATGATCGAGAGACTCTCTACTTTTGTTTAATAACCACATCATTCGGTATACCTGCGCCTGCTAAGAACTCCTTGGCATACCTAGAGTCGTCTCACCAGTTTCATGTGTGCCGAGTCCCAATCATTTGGAGTTGTAGGTTTTATCCCAGCTTTTGCTAAACCTATTTATCATTACTGTATACTTTGGGCCACCATGTGTATTAGAAATTATGATCGAATATAATATTTATGTATAATGCATTAGTCAGGTGCATCTTTGCATCTCTTCACATTCTCCTTGGACAGTGCTCGTGAATAAATAACTTAGTTTTATGATAATTTAAAATTAATGGTGACGAGCGGAAGTTAGACAGATACTGGTATACAATTTATTGGTAGACAACAATATTGGAGACACATTCCCCTTATTACCGACTCTACACAACTCCAGGCTTTACTAATGATGATGTTAAATGGAATGGGTGCCCGCAAGGGGTGACCAGGGGGTGCCGTGTCCCCCTGAATATCCGGCTGGCTCTGCACATAGTCTTGTGTGCAATATTGAGAGCTAGTAAGATCCGCCTCTCGCCTTTCAAACAATTTGGGAGACTAATACACTTTCATAATATACAAGGAATTGCCTCTTGCCGATGTCTAGACGTCCCATCTGAGAAAAACTTCTGCGGGCGCCCATGTTAAAAGGTAAACAGAAATTACCAAATCTTCCCATAATAGGACTACTGGTAACCTTGTGGTTATCCTGTTAAACGGGGTGAAAACCGCGCATTCGTGGGAGAAATTTCTCAAGTCGATTTTTTTACATAATCACGATTGTAGGATGCCCCTTAGATTTCTGAGCGGTAACCCGGTTGTTTAAATATTTTTGGATATTTACTACAAAATATTGCTTTTTTCACTTACGACTTACAATACTTTCTCGCCAACTAACTTTCGAAGTAATTAATGAGTCGGCATCAAAGAGCACTTAGTTTACTCTGGTATTTTTTCATCATGTTGTTGTTGTAATAAAAGCAGTTTTTGCAATTATAAGAAAACAGAAATAGAGTTCGAATAACAATATCATTCAAAAATTGTCATTAAGCAACCCATTTCTTGGACTAATACGCGATGCGATTAATACTTGTTTCTTTCGTACTGCAGAGTATCAAAGTCAGACGTGAGAATAGGTTTTCTTCAAAATGTACACTATCAGAATATATCTCACTTAAGTGTCTCCCTACTTAAGTAAAAATCGATGCCGTTTTTAATTGTGGGAATTTTAAAACAAAGATGCTCCAAAAACATTAGTAGAAAAGGCGCGAGAATAACTAAATCCAGAACAGTTTTTCAACAACAAAAAACAAAATTCGAAAATCGCGGAACTTATTGTTTGTGCATTGTTTCATATTAATTCCACAAATGTTATTTTAAGTTTTACTTACTTCAAGAAAGATGAGTATATCTATGCATAACGTATGTCTTAAAAGTTTTGGCACAAAATTCATTGACTTTAATTTTAACAAACACAAAATAATATCAAGCTTCCTTTGGAAACAAAAGTTTTTTCACTTACTTTACTGTTGAAATTTATATATTTTGAAGTTTTGGCTTAAGATGTATAAATTAGAATTAAGAAAAAGTGTCTATAAGTTGGTTGGGTGGGTCCCCAAAGCTAATATCTGTCGAATATTCCAGAATGAAAATATTTCACGTAGAACCATTTATCTAACAATAGCGGAGTGCGAGCAGGGAAAACCATATCTGATTCTCCCAAAAAGTGGAAGACTACGTGCATTTACTGCTCAAAGGTCAGAGACATTGGTGAGAAGAGCAACTAATCAGGTTGGAACGTCAACAAGGAGACTGGCTCGTCAACACAGATCCTCTAAGAGTACGATATCGTTGGAATTGAGGAGGAATGGTGTTAAATACCGAAAGAGACTTAAGTGCCCCAAATACTCTCAAGCGCAACTGCCTCGTATGCCAAGATGCTGTCGTCAACTGGGGCGGGTACACTTTGCCAATGGAAAAATCATTATTTTAGATGATAAAAAGTATTTCACTTTGAGTAATTCTGAAATGAAGGGAAACGATGGACTTTATACGAATCAAGCGAAATTTGCGGATAAAATCCTTGTCTGGTGCGCAATTTCTAACAGAGATGTCTGCCTTTTGTGGGAGGGGTGAAGTTTTGAATAGTCTGAGCTATATTGATAATTACCTTTCCAAATTGCTTCAGTTTGTCCACGAACATCATGCTTATGACCATATCATGTTTTGGTCAGACCTAGCATCATTCCATTACTCAAGAGATACCCAAAACTGCATTCGACAACACAACATACCTTTTGTTCCCAAAAACGATAAACTTCCAAATTTGCCGCAGGCTCGCCTAATAGAGGATTTTTGGGCTTTAAAGTCTAGGAAGGTTTATCATGGAGGCTGGGAAGCCAAAGATGAAGAACAACTAAGACGGTGAATTTAAGAAAAACTGAGACAAATTGATCTAAATTCTGTCCAGGACCTCAAGAGAGCCATTCGAAGAAAGTTGCGTCTGGTCCTATAGTTAGGTATTGAGTTGTAATTAATTAAATAATTGTCTTCATTAAAAAAAAATCCGATAAATATTTTGTGCCAGAACTCTTAGGACTTACTATACGTTACCCTGGACAAAGCAATTAATCCATATACGGTTGTTTCCATATCAAATCATTTACATTCTTAGGGTACAGTTATGCGTGAAAAATGTAAACTCTCTTTTGATGATATCATTTCATGTTTCCTTAGGTTAACCTTATGAAATTTTGTAGTGCTACAAGCTTCTCAAAATATTTTGTATTGTACCACATGCATCCGGCACATGTGCCTAAAACATACCTTATGGATGCATAGTTGAACTGGAATCCTGTTGCTAGCTACCAAACATACGGATGCCATCTATCACCAGAACAGTTCCAACAGTCAGCTTGATGTTTTCACTTTCGCAGTGATGGGTTCTAGTAAAGCCGCGTACAGACCGAAAATCCAAAGCCGAGCAAACGAATGCAAGCACGTGACGCTGGCGTTTGTTGTTGGAAACTATTGGAATTCGCTCGTCTACACGTCGTCTACACCTAAATTTAGTTTCGAGTTGGACAGCGTCGGGTTAAGTTAGCTGTTAATGTCGAGCGACGAGTCTCCTGTCATCGAATGCAGACAAACGACTAAATACTAGAAGCGCAATAAATCCTGTCCAGACCAAATCAAACCTCCCTTGGCTTGCGTTGGTATCTCGGTCTGTACGCGGCTTAAGACCATGCCTAGATCATGCTAAGGAGTTGCCAAGTAGCACGAAACAGGTGCACATGGCTGTGTTCGAACAATTAAAGGTATATTACTAGTTTTTTCCGCAATTTTAAATTATGAATATTTCTTTTCAATTCAATTCTCACTTCCAGGCCAAGCAGGAGTAAATCAACTTGGAGGTGTTTTCGTAAACGGCCGTCCCCTTCCAGACTGCGTGAGGAGAAGGATTGTTGAGCTGGCCCTGCTTGGAGTTCGACCTTGTGACATATCCAGACAGCTGCTAGTTTCGCACGGCTGCGTCTCTAAAATCCTCACAAGATTCTATGAGACTGGCTCGATCAAGCCAGGTTCAATCGGTGGATCGAAGACAAAGGTAATCGTCGTTTAGTAACAATGGTTTTCCTATATCATGCCTTTTTGCATCTGGTCACACTTTACACAAACGTTTATATGTGTTATGGCGGTTTTCCACTAAACGGACAAAACAAAAACAAAACACAAACTCGTGTCGAATAATACAAAACTGGAACTTTTCGCAAACTTTATGAAGCACTTGGGGGTTTTGTTTTCGTGTGCCGCTCGGAAACGATCACATCAAAAGGTTTCGACGTGTTTTGAAACTCGAGTCTGTATAGTGGATACGACCGTGTTGTGTTTTCGACTTGCCAGTCTGAATCCGAATTTTGTAGCAAATTTGTAGGTAAATAAATAACGTATTTTTTATAGATACGAAATTTCTTTTGAAACGATGAATTTAAAGGTACATTAATCTCATAACTGTCCACAGTAGCAAGGAACTTCAGTGTTTCTGCTAATCGATCTTTGACAAAAATTGAATCTCTAAAGTTAGTATTTAACTTTGCACCTTTCCCGCAATTAATATAATTAACTCTTAAAAATCATTCAAGACATTCTCAGAAAATTATGAAATGCAATCCAATTTCATCATTTTGAATATCATTCATAAGAGGCAGAAAAGTTACCAGCTAAAAATGTCGAGGTGTATCAAAACCTGAACGCATATTCAAGTACTTGTAAGATTGATACAATATTGCAATATTGGAAAATAAATGCTCTATTTAGTTTTGAAATACTTCACATCAAAAATGATAACGTTTGATGAATGGAAACAGAGTACCTTGAACCAATGATCAACGTATTCCAGCTGAAGATAGCCAATCATATACTTTTTGGCGGCTGTCTAATGCCCATTCTAATTGGATATCTTCAGTCATTAATTAACGTACTATATCTGAAGATGCGGATTTCAAATAGGCACTAGAGAGGACAAAAAGGCATTGAAGGTCCTAGCGCCATCTGTGAGACAGTGGCAGAACACTGTACCTCTTTTCAAACTAGGTTTCTTCTTTCATTTTTGGGTTCAGCTTTTGTCCCATAGATGGCGGTCGTATATTTCAGATCCCTTTTTGGGCGCAGAAATGCAGTAAATGGTTGGGGATCAATGCTCAAACCTATAGTCCAATTTAGTTGCGGCATGTTATATATATATATATATATATATATATATATACAGGGTGGCCAAACACGTGACGTCATAAAAAAAAATTAGATTCCCCACATCGATAGGAACCCAAATCACCCCCATATATATGGTCCGATTTTGTTTAGTTTAGGAGTTATGATTTTTTTCGGATTTTTCGAGAATTTTTGAGTTCTGTGTTTATTTTTACCATAACTTCGTTAATAATTGTGATAAATGCCTGCTTTTTTCACGATTATGTAGCTAAGACCTAAGGCTTAACTATCATATAATCATTCAAGTCATGTAACTAATACTACTTTTTAATTTTTTTCAAAATCTTCGAACATAACAAAAAAGTAAAAAAGTGCAACAACTTTGAACGTTTATAAAAATTGAAAAAACATGTTCTTACTATTCGTAAGTATCTTAAAAACTTCCTTACGGTATCAGCTATTTACCGTAAAAATTTCATCAACCTAGCTTTACTACATGCTACCGTAATTGTGGCTCAAATAGAACCGAACCCAAAATTGGATAACCCTCTGCTCAATAGAAATTGTTATTTTCGGAAAAAAAATTGCAAAAACCACAAAAACACGTTTGATTTTTACTGAACAGCAGATTATTATTCATTTATGTTATTTACAAGAGGTTTTCAAAATGTCTGCCTCTAACAGAAATGCACAGTGTACACCTACGTATGAAATTTTGTTTTAAATCTCTAAATGCTTGTGTGTTGTTTTTCAACACATGTGTCGCTTCTTGAATTTTGTTCCTCAATGAATTTTCATTTGCACATTCTTGGGCGAATGTTATGTCTTTAAAATATCCCCAAACAAAAAAATCAATGGGGTTGAGGTCAGGGGAGCGTGGAGGCCATCGTATCGGTCCGTTTCGTCCGATCCATCTGTCTGGGAACCTTTCGTTTAAGTAGTTTCGCACGATCGTTGCGTTGTGGCATGGTGCACCATCATTCTGGAACACCATGTTCCGTCTGGCTTCCAGGCTTGAATCTTCCAGCAATAATGGTAGGCTATTTTCAAGGAAGCTTTTGTAGGCTACCGAATCCAACCTTGACGGCAGTTCAAATGGACCGATAAATTCCATAGTGAATATTCCTGACCACATGTTCACACTAAAACGGTGTTGAAATGTCGACGGCCTTGACTGGTGGGGGTTTTCAACAGCCCAAGTATGTAAATTATGGATATTGAATATCCCTGTTCTTTCAAAACGTGACTCGTCAGTCCATAAAATTTTATCAAAAAAATCGGGATCCTCTCGTTGTCTTCGCAGCATTGTCTCGCAGAAATCCACTCTTAACTGGTAATCTGAAGGCATCAACGCTTGAACTCTTTGAACATGATAGGCATGATAACCTTCTTCATGAAGAATATTTTGTATCGATGTTCGTGGTATTCTAAGGTTTTGTGCCATAGATCTCGTACTCGTTGAGGGATTCCGGCTAATTTCTTCAAGTACTACTTCTCTGCGATCCGGATCAGCTGTAGGATATCCTTCATTGCTTCCTCGTCCTAGAATGCGGCCTGCCATGAAAGTGTTATGTGTGTTAATAAAAACACGGTGGTCTGGGTAATGCTCAGGTTGTGGTCCGCCTCAGCGTATAAGTTGTTCCCGGTACAGCTGAGCTGCTAAAGCGCCGTTGCCTTGAGCAACGCCATAATAATAATGCATCGACATTTCAACACCGTTTTAGTGTGAACATGTGGTCAGGAATATTCAATATGGAATTTATCGGTCCATTTGAACTGCCGTCAAGGTTGGATTCGGTAGCCTACAAAAGCTTCCTTGAAAATAGCCTACCATTATTGCTGGAAGATTCAAGCCTGGAAGCCAGACGGAACATGGTGTTCCAGAATGATGGTGCACCTTGTCACAACGCAACGATCGTGCGAAACTACTTAAACGAAAGGTTCCCAGACAGATGGATCGGACGAAACGGACCGATACGATGGCCTCCACGCTCCCCTGACCTCAACCCCATTGATTTTTTTGTTTGGGGATATTTTAAAGACATAACATTCGCCCAAGAATGTGCAAATGAAAATTCATTGAGGAACAAAATTCAAGAAGCGACACATGTGTTGAAAAACAACACACAAGCATTTAGAGATTTAAAACAAAATTTCATACGTAGGTGTACACTGTGCATTTCTGTTAGAGGCAGACATTTTGAAAACCTCTTGTAAATAACATAAATGAATAATAATCTGCTGTTCAGTAAAAATCAAACGTGTTTTTGTGGTTTTTGCAATTTTTTTTTCCGAAACTAACAATTTCTATTGAGCAGAGGGTTATCCAATTTTGGGTTCGGCTCTATTTGAGCCACAATTACGGTAGCATGTAGTAAAGCTAGGTTGATGAAATTTTTACGGTAAATAGCTGATACCGTAAGGAAGTTTTTAAGATACTTACGAATAGTAAGAACATGTTTTTTCAATTTTTTATAAACGTTCAAAGTTGTTGCACTTTTTTACTTTTTTGTTATGTTCGAAGATTTTGAAAAAAATTAAAAAGTAGTATTAGTTACATGACTTGAATGATTATATAATAGTTAAGCCTTAGGTCTTAGCTACATAATCGTGAAAAAAGCAGGCATTTATCACAATTATTAACGAAGTTATGGTAAAAATAAACACAGAACTCAAAAATTCTCGAAAAATCCGAAAAAAAAATCATAACTCCTAAACTAAACAAAATCGGACCATATATATGGGGGTGATTTGGGTTCCTATCGATGTGGGGAATCTAATTTTTTTTTTATGACGTCACGTGTTTGGCCACCCTGTATATATGGTTATCTGGTTTTCGGTTTGGTAGGAATTGTATCTCCGACTGTCACACCAGTCCCACATTAACACATTCTTCGATCATATCAACTACACGCAGTATGTAATCAACTACCAGAGAAAAAAATAGCTAGAAGATATAAAATAATCTGGTACTGGTAAATTCTAATCACAAGTAAATGAGCAATCATTTAGAGTTACAAATTGTTTTGCAGGATAACAGTTTTATCAAATGACAATATTCGAAACTTTCTTTAGCATTTATTACAAATTGTCAATATTGGTAGGTAACATTTACGGTATTACAGAACTGGTTGAGCTGTTTAAAGCTAATTATCTTTCTGCATTTCGGTAAAAGAATTAGGATGGCCAATCGTCAAAATTTCTAAAATGAAATATTGTGTGTAATTGATGTTATATGTCAATCAGTTACACTCAATACTCATAACCATACAAAACTACTTTTGACTAAATACGTTACTCCAAACCACTTTTAACTTCAAATATATTGCGCAACAGTGATTTTGACTGAATTGTATCTGTCAACAGTGGTTGTAACCAAGAATGTAAGTCAAAATTACTTATGAAAAATCATTGATGTTTCCAGAATCGTTCTATCATTAAATAAATTAAAATTTTATTAAGTGCTTACTGGTCATTATAATTTTTAGAGAAACGAAAATTAGCATTTAATTAATCATTAAGACTGTCGTCATTCAATAAAATAAATAAGACAATATTTTATTTATCTACTATGAATACTCTTTGTGGCAAATAACAAAATAAGACTATGAAAAGGGAATAAAATAAGAGTTATATCAGTACTTGAACTTAAAGTTAAACTTATTGGTTTTTGTTAGCTGCTGTATCTATGGTACTATTTGCTTGCACGGCCTAAACTACTATGATTCTTGGAATTACACAATATATCTTCTTTCTTGAACAAACAGCTGTGCAAGAACGAGGACGTCGCTTAAAACCACATTGACTACAAAAACTGTTGTTGTTGACTAAAGACATCGGTCAAAACCGGGTATGGGAAAAAAAAGGGTGAATGCTTTCATCAGGTTATGAAGGGCA